CAAATTTTTACTCGCGTTGTATTGTTTCAACGACAACACTTTTGTAATTACATTGCATTCTAAATTACATTAAATGCATTTTTAAATTAATATAAAATGAACCAAAGTGTTCGTTACAATATCCACAATCTATAATCTAGAATATCTACTTTCGTCTGTTGTGTCTTTTTCCTCAATAATGTCCAATTGATACAAGCATCCATCGCGTCGTGAAGTGCTCGCTACTCTTTCTCGCCTCTATCTGACGCCAAGATAGAAAAAGAAAGCTTTCCAACACGCCGCGGTGGCTTCGTCATGGACGTCAGCTGGCTCGCCCAAGAAAATGCAAAATTATCGCATACGCCAGGATGCTTCTATGGCAAATAGCCTCCCGCCTCGACTTCTTACGTTCCACGGGTTTGATGTGCACGGCAATTAAGACGGAAGATAAGATTATCGTGCGGCGCGGGATGGTCGCGTTTAAAAATGGTAGCGAAGAACTGGGTCAACGGTAAATCGCGCAGATGAGATCCATCGCCCCGGAAAACGAAGGGACGGATCGCGCGTTAACGCCGGCCACAACGCGTTGAGAACGTCGAGCGTTTTTCCTCTTCGTTCGCTCGTACATGTTTCTCAACGGGTGAGAGCCAAGCAGGATGAGCGAATAATTCAATTTCGGCGAAAAACACCTGCCTCGTCTTCTTTTTCTCTCTCGCCTTTTTTCTTCTTCTTTTCCTTTTTTTTTTTTTTTTTCTCTTTGTTATTTCCCGAAGTAGCTTTGAAATAACGGGAGGTTACGAAAGCGAGACATCATCAGAGATACGTCGTACTTATAAATCGCCGTACGAAGCGAGTAACGACGACGTTAACAAATTTTAATATTAACGAGATCATTAACAGGACGACGCAAACGAGCTTCCCCGATGGAGAATCCTCTTTCATCCCGAGGCGAGCGCCAATATTCCTCGGAATACTTATCTCGTGAAAAATTCATTTTTCCAACGCGAAACGCTTCGACTCGTCGAGCGAGAACATCGCTTCTCGATCGATCGTCGCGACGACGACGACCAGCCGCGCGTTCCTTCCTCGACGAGCTGTTTCGCTTCAAAAGGTTATTTCCGAACCTCTCGAACGAACGACAACGTTTGTGGCATAACGTGTTCGAACGACGATCGAAGGAGAAACAAACTAGTGGAACGCAGAATTTTCACGGGAGATTTCACCGCGGGACTCGGTAGCAAAGGCCAATTGCAATGTTTGTTTATGATTGATTAACATTCGGGGTAATCTCTTTTAATCCTCGTTTAGATCAAATGAACGATCTAAGGTTTTTCAACCGTTTTAGTGCCATACGGTGCTAGAACAGCGTTTCAATGTATAATATGTAGAGATATAATATAAATAACGTTTAGATCAAATGAACGATCACAAGTTTTTCAACCGTTTTAGTGCCATACGGTGCTAGAACAGCGTTTCAATGTATAATATGTAGAGATATAATATAAATAACGTTTATATCAAATGAACGATCACCAGTTTTTCAACCGTTTTAGTGCCACACGGTGCTACAACAGCGTTTCAATGTATAATATGTAGAGATATAATATAAATAACGTTTATATCAAATGAACGATCACAAGNNNTTCAACCGTTTTAGTGCCATACGGTGCTACAACAGCGTTTCAATGTATAATATGTAGAGATATAATATAAATAACGTTTATTTAATAAAAGTAATGATAATAAAACAACAAATAATCAAAACAAATAACGTTCAAAGAACACTTCCTCTCCTAATTAATTTCTCTTCAATTAAATCCACGTGCATAAATAGGGATGATAGTTTTTACTGTATCTACTTCTATCGCGTCGCTTGACATTTTCTCGCAGTCAAGAGAAAGCGCTCTTCTAAATAAATCTAAAACGTGGTTAATGGATTCGGATATTTTTTTTTTACGTTATATATTACTAGGACTCTATTGCGTTATATTTACAAGACTAGGGCAATTTTTTCAATGGGCGAGAATGTGTGAAAAGCGAAAGTGCTTGCTCCTTGCTTCGCGAATTCGTTCGATTCTACGCCCGCGGCGAAATCGTCCGACTAGAAATTGAAATCATGCAAATGTCAGGGAAATGAATGAGAAAAAAAAAAAAGGAAAAACGTGTATACAGACAACGCGTCAGCCCTGCCCGTCTACCTGATCCCCCGTAAATTGAAAAAAGCCACGCGACCAGCTTAAACTTCTCGGGTTAGGTCTATCTCCCTGAGCGGTGTACGGACCGGTGAGATTGCACTGTCTGCTTGCTCTGGTCAATCAGAGGAACTCGTTTCGTCCGATGATTTTCGTCCTCCTCCTCCCGTTCGCCGCCGTTTTCTCGAGCCGCTTCGTCGGAACTCGAGGCGAACGTCGCCTAATACCAAGAAACACGAGCAGATCGAAAATTCCAGACTCGGTAGCTGAGTAGAGAGCAAAAGGACAGGGAGAAAAGCAAAGCAGGATGAATAAGTTTCGGTTTGTGAAACAGGAGTCTCGTTTCCTCGTGCTTTCTCTCGGTGTCTCTTTGCTTCTCACCCCCTCTTCACTCACTCACTCTCTCTCTCTCTCTCTCTCTCTCCCGTCGCTTTCTCCACGCCTGGTTTTTCCTCCGGACTATGGACTCTCGTCGGCGCACAAACGTAGACATGGCAACCGTAAATCAACCCTCGAAATTGTTTTCGAGTGGCGGGCATCCTCCCCCAACCCCCGAACGCTTCGGCAAACTCCGCGTCTAGAAATTCAAGTAACGACCGGCGGTGGCTACGTGGACACACACGACCAGTTCTCGATCATTTTCCTCCGCCGGAGTCAGTGTACTTTCATACGATTGTTTGAACAGATTTGAGCCATTCACAGGCCACAGTGATTAAACCCCATTTCTCCCAACTTTTCTTTTCAATTTCGCAGAATTAAAATTTTACTCGGAAGTTCAAATTTTGAAGGAAAGAAAAGGACGTACGGTACTGTTGAATGACCAACCCGGACAATATTGAATCTATGCAAATACTGACAATGAGCTAGCAACAGTCCACATAAAAGTGGACTGTGAAT